ATTAGCATAAAAAATTTAAAATCTAATTAGTTTTCCATCGGAGAGCATCCTGAAATAAAATGAGATTTTTCCAGCAAAAGCATAGTCCGTTCTCTGATTTTGATTTTCTTCACTTAAAAGTAGAGCAAAGTTTCTGCATTCCCAGAAAGTTGACTTGCTTATTTTAAGCTTATAGTGCCAACAGTCATTAGCACGAACCCAGCCTAGAATTCTCAATCATAACTTATAACGAACTAACCATACAATCCTGCAGGATGAGCTGGAGTTGCAGCTATGATATTTTGCTCTTCCTCTGACAAAACCTATGAAGTGACAAAGAGGAGGCAAGTTAAGCACACAAAACACCACAAAGAAAAAGAGCTTGAAGCAACAATTTGCATGGTAAGAGGATGCTTGACGAGATCACAATATAAAGAAATCTTTAAATGGAACACATACAGGCAATGCTGTCAAAAGCATGTCTACAAAAGTGCCCTCAGCCAATAAATTGAGCGCTTCAGTCTCCAAGACATCAGATTTGAGATGGACAATTTGAACAGAACAGTTTGACTCAGAAGCTGTGAGATCTTCTGAAATTTCTTCCTCAGTGGCAAGCTGATTAAAAACGTCAGTTTCTGTTGCTGAACACTTTGGATGAAAATGCTCAAGCCTGCAGTAAATCAATATATAGCACATGGTCAACAATGATTCATCCCGGGTTATGAATTCAATTAGCTTGGAATTACAATTCCCAGGTTAAATATGAGCAAGTAACTGAGGCCATTTTGTGACAATCTCCTGTGCAATCAGTGCTTTGCAAACATTCACCCCAAGGTGAAGAATCAAGTTATTCATTTCACAAATATACTGATTTACCTTAAGAATAGACCAGTCACTAATTTATTATCTGCAACCTATTTCAGACAAAAAAAATTGAGATGAAATCTTCCTCGTCAATGAAATCCACCGGAAGACCTATCATAATCTTACTTCTGAAAATGCTGAAAGACAGAACAAGTGTATGAAAAACCAGAGGAGGTTCTGACTTGAAGGTGAACTAGAACTACTGCTGCCTGGTCCCTTGTGCTATCGTCCAGCATGCCTGAGACATGCCTCACTATATTGTGAACCAAAAGCTTAGTACAAAATGCAATGCACAAGGCTTCCCCCAATAAAGTCCTAAAACCCAAAACCCCAAGTTCGTTTAAAAGGTGTCTGGGCAATGAAGTAAAGTCCTGTTTGAATCCCTTTTATTTGAACTCTTTGGACTCAAATCTCAAGGTTATTATACAAACTACCATTAACCATTTTTTTTATTAGAGATTAAGCCTTAAACGTAGCATCAGCCATGGCATAATTTTGAAGCTTTCCTTTACATAGAAAAGCAATTCTTTTGGGACTCATTACACTCCCAAGTCCTAATCATCTACTCATAACTTGTGCAAAAGTCATTCTTTCCCCTCCTACCAACTCTTGACTATGCACTGATATATTAGCATCTGAAATTTGGTACCTTTTCGCTTAAAACAGAAAAAAAAAAAAAAAAGAACCTTTGACATATTTCGTCTACCATTTGCACCAAAATGTTTCCAGAATTAACCAATTATAAACACAAAAAGAGAGTAGTATTACAAAATCTAAGATAAACCCAGAAAAATACACACCTAGACGGGATTAATCTGGGGCAGTTCAACCATCGACGAGAAGAGAAGCCAGGGCGTATTCTAAGACAAGACGACTTCGGATGAGGAGCTTGGCGAATACTGAAGCTGAAAGTCGAACATGAAAAATGAGGCTGAGGATTGGCAATGACAACCACACCCATGATTGTTCCACTCTTTCTTGATTACTGAAGATAGTCTGAGTCTCCAAGAACACTGCCTTGAAGCACCTCTGCTTTTGCTCTTGATGACTACTCATGCAGCCTTCTCAGCAGCTGAATGTTTTAGTATTATCAATGCTGCAAACAATAATCTTTTCTCGAGGATTACAATGTTGTTCGCCTTTTTTTATTTTTTATTTTTTAGGGGAATGTTCTGTGTTTAGGGTTTTTGAGAGTTCTAAGATTTCAAGAATCAAGAATCTGGAGGGGTCAAAAATTTTTGAGGGCTGGCATTTCTGATTCCTCCTTATCCTGCAAAAGGGGAAAATTTTTGATAGGAAGACACGAAGGTAATGGACGGACAATTCTAAAGTCCAACAACTGGATTGTCTAAAGGCCGTTAATTTATTGTTGACGTGTGTATATATCGGTCTCCAGGCTTCTGTCCGGCCAAGCTATTTTCCTTTTTAATTTTCAGTTGACTTACTTCTATTTCCTTCGTGTTTGTTCGATGCTTTGATCAGGCATAAAACTTGATTTCCAAAACTGTTTGCTTTTTGTAGTCAATTTTGAACTCCTATCAAAAAAATTTTATATTTTTAGTAAACGCATTTTTCAATTTTTTTTTAATCTTACATACATCGAATTGTTATAATGTAATTTTTTTATAAAGACTCTAAAAAATAGCAATCAAAACAGAGTGAAAAATAGATAGAAACACGTTTTACTAACGTAATTGCACTATCGTCGTACTCTATAGTGCTACTAGTTACTTAATTCTATTGACGTAAGACCTTAGTAATATTTTGAACAAATTGCACGAAATGTCACTAAACTACTGCCAGGGCGATGGAACTCTTCCAGTAATGTTGGGTTCATTCGAACAAGTTCCAAGATTGAAAAGACCAATGAATCACAGACTATACCAAGGCAGAGAATGTTCTCAACATTCTGTTGGAATGATATGAGAAGACCAATGAATTCACTTCTCTCATAAGACATCTCTTCCCATTCACTCGTCAAGTGATGCTCCCAGCGCTACTGCAAATATCTCATTCTGGATTCCGAAAGGAGTTGCACCATCTCAAGACATCGGGTCTGTTGCCTAAAATTCTTCAAAAAATCTCCAAAAATGGAGGCTGCTGCAATTGAGTCGAAGCTGGACATTGCCTGATCTAATTCAGAAGAAAAGTAAAGCCTCCCCCTATTTCCATGAACAAAATCTACAAGTCCTTTAAAAGAATTCTCCAATTTCCTTGCAGCCAGAAAAAATTTTCTCACTACTTCTAATTCCCCCTTCAACTTGTCGAAATGATCCTCCTCCGTGAAGAAATTACACTCAAAATCTTCAACCCTTCATTTACCAGACGAAATTTTTCCGACAAAAGCTGTGTAGATGAAATTGCCCCTCAAAAAGTTACTTTCGTCTCTCCTAACGGCATAAGATCACGGAGTGATCAAAACGATATAGATTTATTAGTTCAGTGACATTTTCGGCAATTAAAAAATTTTGGTGACCAAAACCAGCACCTCGCAATAATTTAGTGACATTTCGCACCCTCATATTTTTCTTTGGAAGACCTAAATGAACATTTGAAATCTATATAAAAAAAAAGCTCAAAACAAATAAGAAAAAGTATAGATTGCAAATGTTCGATTGGGAGCATTTTTAAGAAAAAATCATATCCTCATAATCAAATAAATAATCATACTATTGATATATATATATATATATATATATATATATATATATACGGTGAAATTTACATTAATGGATTATGTTTTTGTCTGTTTACAACATCAAGCACACGGGGAATAAGTAAAGATTTTTTAAAGTTACAGTATGGTATATTAAAGAGCACTTAACTATAGGATGTATGTGAAATTTGCACAAGTAAAAAGTCATTTGATTCTACCTTTGGGGTAGGATATAATGATATATTAGCCCTAAGATGTGCGTGGACATTTTTTGGTGTATAAGGTGAAATCCCCACTAATGGTTAAATAGTCGTATAATTAGAGCACGTTGGTGAATTTTCCATTAATGGAGTACCTCCTCCTTTCCAATTAAACCTAGAACACAATAACTACATAATAATAGGAGATTTTTTAATCCACAAAAGGGTATTTTAAAAAGTGCCTAACCACTGAAAATGCGTGTGAAATTAGCGCAAATAAAAAGTCATTCGATTCTACCTACTAAGTAGAATGTGGTGCCCTTCGCATTGTGTAGAATGCAGTGGCTTTAGTTTTTTTTTTTTTTTTTTTTGTCAACACAGGAGTATCCGGATCAATTCTTACGGGGATCAATTCTTACGGGGCCCGACTAATTCCACTGCGACTCGGAAGCAGAGGCTCCTTACTTCCGAACGCGTCAACTACGCGACTCGAACTCTGGCCAAATCCAGGAGCCATGCGAGTGGTGACCATCCGAGCTACCCTGCGAGGGCAATGCAGTGGCTTTAGTTGGTAACGGCTTTTTCTCGTAAAAGGTTGTGTTTAGAATTCACTATCGATACTCTGATTCTGTGAAATGTGATGCTGTTGATGTTAGATAGAATGCACAGTCGATAGAATCTCTTTTTCGTAAAATGTTGTATTCAAATCTCACCACTGTTACTTTAACTTGTGATAGTAATCAGTATCGAAATCACATAAACATTTTCCTTAAAAAAAAAAAAGGTGAAAAAGGATTGTAGCGCCCTTCTCCCGACTAAGACCGGAAGTAGTGATGAGAATCACGGCTAGCACTTTAACAGCCATGACTACAACCATTTCAAAGAAACTGCATAAATTCATCCTATATCCCCAGTCATATCAACCCCCTACCAAAGGAACATGAACAAGGATCACATGCTATGGCGATGTTAGCTAAACAAGGATCATCTAACCTCTTGAATGTGTATGAAGAAGTAAAAGAGTATGCAAGAAATATGAAGATATAAAAATGAACTCATTACAAAAAAGAAAAAAAAAAATCAAAGACCCTATTGTAAATGCGGAATGTTGCACCCATAACATAGCAGAATGATCAAATTGGAACCTATTTTCATTAATTTTGCAACAAAATTTCTCCTATTTAACATGGAAGTTATTGCAAACAGTAGAAGTCTATTGGTAAGTTATGCTTTAATGGCGATGCATTAGCCAGTGATAAATGTCATATCTCGAAAAATTATACCCCTTAGAAGCTGAATAAAGAAAATACTTTTCCAACTGTATAATCCAAAAACAAAGAAATGGCCAAGAACTCCGACGTAGGAAAAGAATTTTTCCACATTCTACCTGGCATGTTTTTCATGCATGAACCATTAAGTGGTGTCCACTTTCTCCAAGAATGTGCTTATACATTAGTTTTCTAACACGCAATTCCTAGACAAATTCATCGAAAGAAACAATACGCTGAGATTCCACAGTAATGTGTTGTAAACCTTGGAAACCAAAATCCCACAAAGAAATGGCCTCCATTCCACTACCAACGGTGGATATGTTGTCTACTTGGGACCTAATGTCTGATGCATGCACGCCACCTGTTCGAGCATTTGCTAACAAAGAATTAAATTATGAACAGTTGTGGTATTCTGGTGCCCACTTTCAGTACGATGGTGGTTTTAATTTCCCAAGGTTCAAGCAGCCATCCACTCAACCGAACAGGAAATGCGCTTTCAGCCCACAATTGATTAGGGGGTTGCAAGAAAATGGGTAGAAATAAGAGGAATGCTTGTGCAAGGATGAAGAAAATCAAGGAATGTGATGAGCATGATCAGAATCAGGATCACTCAGCTCAACGGTCTGATGATAAAAATGCTTGTGAGGAAGGGGTTTCGGAGAAGGCCATCACTGATCAGCAGAGTTTGGAAGAAAAATCTGCTATTGATAATTTCTATGAAAAGCTTATCAAGTTGAATGAGTCCTCAGGGCTCAGTTTAGTGTAAGTCTCTTATGTTCCAATCTTTTAGTTTAACACTCTGTAGAAATGAGTGTGTCCATGCATCCACGCCTCAGCATGTATAAAGACTATAGAGCAACTTGCTAAGTTCCTGAATTGTGCTTTTAAACTTAAAGATGTTTTTTGTTCTAAGTTTTCCTTTGGATTATTAAAATGCTGAAAAAACACTACAATGTATGTTAATTCATGTAATGAGTAATGATCTCTTATTTTTATCGAAATATACTTATGTTTGAGCTCTGTTTTCTTAGAATTAGAAGGTCTAACTCTAACGATATGTGTTGAAAAATAATTATAACTTTCTTATTGTACTTTGTACCTTTTTTCGTCAAGGAGAGGAAAAGCGATTTTGATCTTTAGCTTTTGAGTCTTACCAGAGACAATCCAGTTGAAAGAGAAGAATGAGATTTATAAATTCCAGAATGGAAACCGTCGACTTTGTTACAGATTTTCATTTGCAAAACATCAATGACTATGTTTAGTAATGAGGGCTCTGCCTGTTATGTTTAGTTAGTTCGGGAAGTTTGCTGTGATTCAAGTCATTGTAAAGCAATGCTCTACACTGGAAGAGAGAGAGCTCATGTTGTGATACATGACAAAATGAGTCCTAACTAGATTTAAATTCATTGGTTGTTAGAATGATCTTTTCTAGAGCTACTTCGATGTGCATACTTGGTTAGGGTTACGTTGGTTTGACTCATTTTTCTTACCGAAAGTAATTTGATTGAATAAAAATGGCAGCTTTAACTTCCGGGAAGCAAAAATGGACTTGCATCTTGTTTTCAAGGAAGTGACCGAGAGAGGGGGATCTTATCAGGTATATCATGGCTTTTCAATTTGAAGTAACTTATGACTTATTCTTTCCATAGCGCTATCAAAGTCATCACTGTCTTTTTAATTCTCGATGGGCACATCTATCCTTCACTCTTTCTCCAATTCAATCATTTTTCACTTTAACTAACAGTTTTGCGCACACTCGTAGTTTGTAGTACATGTGGGAGTCAATCGGTATACTTTTATAGCTGAATTTGAAAATAAAAGTCGATTCCTTTTCTGAAAGAAACTCTGAGAGACAAAAGAAACTTTGGTTAATTTTTCAACTAAAGGACTTCAGACATTCTTATTCACAGGCGATTTTTCAACTAGGTTTTCTGTTTGTATAAAGCAATGGATGCTAATTGTGCATTTATGGCTTAGGGCTGAGTTGTTTCTCCATAACATCTCCCTGATATTTTTGGGTTTTTGCTGACAGTTCAATAAATAGTTAGCTTTACTTGATACATCTTTTTCAGTTTTGTGAAGGGGATCAAACTTATTAAAAGGATTTTAAAGTTGAACACGTGTCAGAATCATTTTAGTCCCTGATGTTTATATTACCAGGCTGTCTGTGTACCATGGTAGTGTTTGGCCATGATTTTGTTTATCTAGGGTTACCTTTATTAATTAAATAAACAATGTGATTCGAATAATGAGCCTTAGAAAAAGATGGAGACTACGAAAAATATAATTTGACAAGAACAAGTAATTCCTCCTACAAGATAAATATGTCAGACAGCCCCTTGCTGTATATAAACTGAAATTCCATCCCTAAATTTTGTTGATTAGGCAATTGTTCCATCTCTGGAATTATATAAGCTTTCAAATAAATTTCAGGTATCAAAAGATGGGAAATGGAATGAAGTTGCATCCGCATTGAGTGTCAAAAATCATGCCCCCATCTTACCAAGTCAAATTCAAAAGGTTTATGAAAATCTCCTTTGCCAATATGAGCAAATACACTACTACAGGACTCCTGCAAAAGTGTCCAAACTGACAGGTAAACAAGCTACTAAAATTGCTTTATTCATTTAGTTTAGAGCCCTTCCGTCATTATGAGTTTGATTGAGAAATTTGTATATATGGTTTCAACCATGCAGCTGTATGTTTTTCCTATTTATTTAGCTTTGGAGATAAAAGAATACTGTCTCCTTATTTTCTGAGCAGCATAGGCATAATTTGCAGGTGGTGATAGTTATGATTCCTTGCTGGGGAAGCGAAAATCCTGTGAATGCTGCTCTCAAGATTATGAAGCAGGAAAAAGGAAATGCATTCTTGATATTTATCAAGGATCATCAGGTTCATAACTTTATCTTTCCTTAAAAGTTGAAATCATGCATAGATTAAATATACATGAAACCTTTTGGAAATGTTCTGGAGGTGCCAGAAGGGTAAAAGTATCAAGTCAATGTAGTGCTATACAGTCTGAGCCAGCAGGGGTTGGATTTTTTTTTTTTAAAACATTTTTTCATAGAGGTTTAATCTATTTTGATTGATGAGTCACTTAAGGGCTACTCAGATTTCATACATTCATGTTGCTACGAGTACTTATCAGTAACTCATTAGTGTGTCAGTGCTTTCGATCCTTGAGTTGTGCCACAATGACTTGGATTTTGAATTAAATGCACAGTACTACAAGCCCTTGGATCCCTGTTAGATTGTGCCACAAGCACTTGAACTTTGAATTAATGCTTTGGTCTTATAACTTGGATTTTGGATTTCTTCAATTCGTGCTGATTATTTTAAGATGCTGTTATTCTCAGCTCTGAGAAATCAGCATGAAAACTTTGATCTATTACATGGTGCACTAAAACTGGAAGATTTTGTTAGTGACTTGAATGTACCTATCCTTTTTGTGGTAATCAATCTTGAAGTTCGAGCAGGGCCTGGAACACCAGAGCAGAAAACCACCTTCCAGACATCTTTGGATGAGGAAACAGTGATGAGAGATCTTTGTGCTCCACAAAAAGCAAGAAATTCATATCAGCTGTTTCTTAAGATGGAATGTCAGAGATTAAGGAAGATACACGGGGATGCCTCTGGTAGCCGTAGCATAAGAGATATGGCAATTGACGCATGGAGGCACCTTTCTGAAGATGATCGGCTGGTATAGTTCCTTCGATCTTTTCATCATTTTTTGTCGTAGCAGTAAGCTGTACAGATTGAAATATGTTGATATGATATGTCTTCTGCTGCATGCTGAAACCACAACTTCTTTAATTTAGCTGTTATTAGGGAAAACAGTACCGTTTGAAGCTAGAACCTTAACACCAATACTAAATGTGCCCTATCATTAGCTTTAACGTTGTTCATGTGTGTTTGATATTTCCTGCAATTTTCCTAGGCCTATTTTTGCTTCTGTAGCTGCCGTTTTTTGATTGCTGAAGTATTCATTGCACCTCTGCAATGACAAGTTATACAATTAATGTCAGAATATTTGGACCTCTTACAAATTGAATGATGCTTACTTCTGATGATTTGTGCTCTTTCATTTTGCAGCCATATATTGAAGCAAGTAGGAAGGACAGAGAAAGATTTTACAGGGAGATGGCAGTTTACATGCAATATATTGACAAAAAGGTTCTGAAATCTGAGAATACGCTCAAGGATTCAGCTTCATCCCTAATCAACTTTGGCCAGTCTTCACTAATAACTGATGATTATTATGTGACTTTGGAGGCTGATGCTGAAAACTTTTATCTTCCTGACGAGTCATTGGTTGAATCAACCATTCAAATGTTGAAGACTCGACGACCCAGTGACCCCGTGTTTCAGATGACTTGGGACGGGTTCCGTAGCCCTCCAGATACACCCAGTTGAAAGGCTCACAGGAACCCATAAAGGGCAGTTGCTTGGTAATTTTGGCACGGAAGGTGCTTGGGTTAGGTTTTGTTATAGGTGTCTTCAACTCTCATTGTGGATATAAGAGAGTGGTCTATGCGCTTGGGTCCGTGTTCTTAATATGACATATCAGTGGTTTATGTTATCCTCAACTTGTTTGTAACCTAGTATTGGTGCCTTGACTCCCCATTTTTGTCTGCAAAGTATGGTGTCTGTCTATATGCATAGACTGTACAGCACCGTACATGTATAACTGGGGAGTGACTGAGTGCCATTTCGGTGCTGTAGTGTTCTGTAGTTTGTACATATACTGCTAGCTGTGGCCTTCCACTTGATGTATAGTAAGCACAATCTTTTCTAAATTTATCTTGCAGCCATTTTTGTGAAAAATCTGCTTGCATTCCTCAAACTGGACCATCTCTGTTGAGCTTGAAAATCTTGATAGTTGATATCAAACTATACTAGTTGAATATGGCAATGTAGAAATCAAACTACTCCTAGAGTCTAGTAGTTGGCCACTAAGAGAGTTTTAAGGTTTTACTTGAATTTTTTAGAAAAATTTTGCCAGCGGGTGCATAGGCACTCGTGTAGACCGGTGGTTCAATCTCCTTGAGTTCTCTCTTTAACTCCTTTGGATTCTACTTAGTATAGAGTAGGAATAGGTTCAATTCCCTTGAGTTTTCCCTTTGACTCCTTTAGATTCTACTTAGTATAGAGTAGGAGTAGGTTTAGATTACTCACCATTCACTGCACGTCTGCTTACTATTAGGGATTACCAATTTTATCCTTTGGGAGTTCCGGTTTTACACTTTTAGGTACTTGTCCAACTATTCTCTTTGGATTTTGGCTTTGGATGCTATTTTGTGCCAGTCTGCTAGATAAATACGTAAATACCCCTTTCGGCACTCAAGAAGTAGTAGCTATACCTGGCAATTGGACGGGTTGGACGGGTTTTGGGCGGGTTAATATTGGATTTTCATTTAAATGGGTTACACCTAATCTGCCCCAACTTTAGATTGGGTTAATTTTGAGTTGGATCATATTGGGTTAACTCAAACTCATGACCCAAATATGATCCAATATATTAATTAATAGATTTTGATCATAAACTCTCTCAAATACATTTTCACATACAATAAAAAAAATTTCACTAATTGTTGTCCATAGCTATTCCTAGAATATATAATCTGTAACTAAAAGAAATAAATTTAGCACTAGCTTCATATTAAAGCTCCAGTTATCCTGTTATGATCGACGTAATAACCTGTATATATTCATTTGGATAATCTGTCATGTATACATGTCTAATTGATTAATAATTGCCTGAATCCAGTATAGGCTGTGTGGATTTAACCCAATTATATACGAATTGCATCATGACCTAGAAAAATTCTATAATGCAAAATGAACTTATTAGTTGGATTTCCCTTCTGCAGTCTGGAGAACCTACATGGTAGATTTGTGACAAAGAAATTTGCAGTACTACGTTTTAAGCATTCTAAATGGACGGAACTTTCACTAAAGAAGTTAAATTCGATTATGCTCAAATCCTTTGATCTGAAGGTATCAACTTAATATTTGCTGAATCCTTAATTAGTGAACTTCAATTAATTGGCAATTTCTCATGCATCAATACATTGAAGTCACACACCGAAAAGAGATTGGATACAAAGTTTTTTTTTCTATATTATTTTGCTTTTTTTCGTAAACACATTTCGAACTATATATAAGACTTGAACAAGTCTGTCGAATAAAATTTTGGCTAGGAGATGTTTTGTTTGATCCAACATTTGGCTTCATTACATGATTCCAGTTCTTTTCTTATTTCTTGATTTTATTTATTTTTTATTTTTTTTAAACTTAAGTTAGGTAATGGATACCCAACACAAATATCCAAACCGCCCAAAATATATGTGGATTTTTATTATCCAACCCAAAATTGACCCAAAACCCAACTTACCCAACCCAATCTCTCAAATTAGTAGGTGGGTTGGGTGGGTTGTTAGGTTTTGGATATAATTGCCAGGTCTAGTAGTAGCCATCAAACAAAATGAATTATATACCTCTATTGGCTTTTAAGTGACAAGGATAGCACACCGTTTGTACCCGTGTTCGGCAGGTCAAATCATGCACACTGTACATAGTATCTTGATAAAAAACTGACACCGGTAATAGATCCACACCTCATTCCCCTATCTATGTGCCAAGCCTTGGTGGCTTGATTAAGGTATGGAGGCTACACAATGTATTGCTAGATGTAGTATATGCTAGAAACTTCCGGAGCATTCTAGGCTATTCAAAAATCTTGTAGAATGGCCTAGAGTCTTGTAGATAAGAATGGACTTGTGTAAATACTTCTAGAGTCTATGTGTAAAGTACATTTTATGTAGAATTCTCTAGGAATGTTCTAGGTTATTCAAGAGTCTTGTGGAATGGTCTAGAATCTTGTAGATAAGAGTGGACTTGCATAGATCCTTCTAGAGTCCAAGTGTAAAGTACATTTTATGTAGAATTCTCTAAAATTGTGTATAGTTTTTTATCTTGCCTATAAATAGGTCAAGTCCTTTTCATTTGTGATAACCTTTGTACAAGAGTTCTCAAGTGCAATAAAGAAGCTTTCATTTGCCTCCAATACTTTCTCTTTTTGCTATTATTTTTACGCTCCCGCACAACTTTTGCGCACTTGGTGTTTGGTTTGAATTAGCCAACTGTTCATAACTCAAGTTTTGAATGATAGCTAGTGCCGCACGGAGTGTTGTCTTGTAAAAAAACAAGCAGCTCGTGACATAAGGAATTAGCTATCAAACAAAATAAATTATTGTACAAAAAAATTTATACGTTGCATTTTTTAAAAAAAAAAATTATTGACTACCAGGCTTTTGCTTTCCATATGCTTTAGTATTTACTGCAATTTTGTACTTAGATTGAGGCTGACAAAAATCTTAATAGTGTAAGTGTGTATCAATTGTGACTTTCAAAATATCAATTTCAGTTAACATTAAGAGTTGTATTGAGTGTGACTATCAGGAAATCAAATTCAGTTTAAGTTAATGTTTTGTACTAAATTTGACGTTAAAGAAATCAAATTTAGTTAAATTTGAAACTTCATATTATATGACCTAAAACACTCAAATTTAGTCATTTAAATAAGTTTATACTGGATGATACTTTCAAAAAATTACATATAGTTAAAATTAGGAGTTTCTACTAAATGGGACTTTCAAAAAATCAAATTAGATTAAAGTGGATATTTTGTACTAAATGTGAGTTTAAAAAATTAAATCTAGTTAGACATAAAATATTGTGCTGAATTTGAATTTCAAATTAACAAATTAAATTAAGAATTTGTATTGAACGTGAATTTCAAAAATTCATATTTAGATATAATTTGGAGTTGGTAGCAAATGTGATTTTTCAAAAATAAAATTCAGTCAAATATAAATTTTATAATAAATGTAACTTTAAAAAAACTTAAATTAGTTAAATGTAAAAGTTTATACTAAATGTGACCGTCAAATTATCAAATTCAATTAAAATTAAGAATTCCCACTGAAGTTTAGAAAATCACATATCATTAAAATTGAAAGTTTGTAATTAATGTGACTTTCAAGTAATCAAATTCAATTAAATATGATATTTTCCATTAATGTGACTTTTCTTGGCTGCTCCATCTCTACCAAGAGCCTGTTTGGAAAGTGAGTTTTTTGGGTGTTTGTATAAAACTTTACTGTAGATCACTGTAAAAGTTGTAAAAAAACTTTTGTAAAGATTTGGGTGTTTGTAAGATGAAATTTTTTTTCCTTTTCATTTTCTTTCTTTCATTTTTTTTCTTTTTTTCTTTTTTCTTTTCCTTCCTCCCTTTCTTCCTCTTCTCCCTCCTCCTCCCCTCCCCTGATCCCTCTCCCGGTACCTCCATGGCAGCAACCAACAAGTGAGAATCAATTTTTTTTTTTTTTGCTTTTTTTCTCTTCTGCTCTCCCTCCCCCTCTCCCTTACCCCACCACCCTCTTTTTTTTTTTTTTTTTTTTTTTTTTTTTTGTCTTCTGCTCTCCCTCCCCCGCCACCCCTCCCTCTCCCTTCCCCGCCATCCTTTCCTTCCCTCGCCGCCCCTTCCCCAGCCACCCTCCCCCTCCCCCTCCGACCTCCCCTAGCTGCGATCTGGTCGTGCGACCAGATCGCAGCTACCCTCCCTCTCCCCCTTTGCGATCTGGTTGCTCGACCAGATCTGTTAAAAGGGGAGGGGGAGGGTGGTGGGGGAGGCAGAAGGGAAGAAGGGAGGGGGGAGGGAGAAAGAAAAAAAAGAAAAAGAGCATCAGCGACCAGATTGGGCAAAGGGGGAGGGGGAGGCAAAGTCGAAGAAGGGAGAGAGGAGGGAGAGGAAAAAAAAAAAAAAAAAGAGGACCGCCGGAATTGGTGTCCGAAATAGTGATCGGCGCCGGAAGTGGTGGTAGAGGTGGTCGCCGGCATCGGAGAACGTGGTGGGTTGGGTGGGGGAGGAAAAAGAAGAAAAGTTGAAGGGAAAGTTTTTTGTGTATTTTTGAAGTGTGTTAGGTTAAAAACTTTGATAAGTTTTTTGGGGTTCCTGTAGCAAAAGTTGTTAAAAAACTAGTTTTATGCAAACTTGGTAAAAAACCAAGCTTCCAAACAGGGCCCAAGTTTGTAATTAACGTGACTTTCAAGTAATCAAATTCAATTAAATATGATATTTTCCATTAATGTAATGAAGATTAGATTGAGTTTTTTGCCAAGTTTGTCTGCTACAAGTTTTTTAAAAACTTTAGCTACAAATTACAGTAACCTCAAAAAATTTTTCAAAATTTTTAAACTATACACTTCAAAATATTCAAAAATTTACACACTTCAAAAAAATTTTTAAAAACTTCTACAGTAAGTTACAATAAAATTTTAGACAAACACCCAAAAAACTTACTTGTCAAACTGGACCCAAATTCAATCAAATTTATAACCGAGTTGTTGCACTAGAATTTCATAAAAAGATATTTCAAGGTATAAGTTAACTTTCTTAGTTGGTCCAACTTCCCCCTTAACATAACCATTCAACTCCCTACTGTTATCTATCCTCCTAAAGGTGTTTATTTTCCCAATCATAGTACACCTTACGACCATATACACCATCACTCAGTTAATCTATCCACTTCGAAAACACTTAAACCTATACTCTTAATATAGTAAAAAACACACAAATCTTCACCTTCGTAATGGGGATCAAGAGTATATGATATGAGGCCTCCATGGTGACATCTTAATGTAATAAATGTGCTGCCCGTTTCTGGTTAAAGAAAACAATATATATTAGAAAAAAAAAAGGATTGTTAATCTTCATCATTTCATACAATAAAC